AGGCCATCAGACTGTTAAATAGCCATCACTTGGTGGCTTCCACCCGGTTACATAACCCTGCACCTTAGAGGCTGCTGCCCTATATACATAGACTTGAAATCACTGGCCACTTTAAAAATGGAATACTAGTCACTTTAATAATGTTTACATATTTTTGCTTTACTCATCTCATATGTATATACTGTATTCTATTCTACTGAATTTCAGTCTATGCCACTCCAACATTGCTCGTCCTAATATTTATATATTTCTTAATTCCATTATTTTACTTTAGATTTGTGTGTATTGTGTGTATTGTTGTGAATTGTTAGATATTACTGCACTGTTGGAGCTAGAAACACAAGCATTTCGCTACGCCCGCAATAACATCTGCTAATGTGTTTGTGACCAATAACATTTGATTTGATTTAAATAATATTTGTTGGTGTGTGGTGTGTAATGAGGAGCAACCAGACGCTGCACTTGACACATTTATGAAATTGTTTATTCCAGTTACTAATAAGCATGCACCCATTAAGACAATGACTGTAAAAACTGTGGATTGATGAGGAATTGAAAAATTATATGGTTGAGAGAGATGAGGCAAAAGGAATGGCAAATAAGTCTGGCTGCAAAACCAATGAGGCAAACGTACTGCAAATTCAGAAATCGTGTCACTAAACTGAAAAAAAAAAAAGAAACTATACTGTGAAACAAAGATACATTTTATAAAAAATGATAGTAAAAAGCTTTGGAGCACCTTTAAATATTTTTTTTAGGAAAAAGGCTAACTCAGCTCCATCATTCATTGAATCAGATGGCTCATTCATCATAAAACCCACTGATATTGGCAATTACTTTAATGATTTTTCATTGCCAAGATTAGCAAACTTAGGCATGACATGCCAGCAACAAACACTGACACTACACATCCAAGTATAATTGAAAAAATTATGATAGACAAGCATTGTAATTTTGAATTCCGTTAAGTGAGTGTGGAAGAGGTGAAAAAAATATTGCTGTCTGTCAACAATGACAAGCCACCGGGGTCAGACAACTTGGATGGAAAATTACTGAGGATAATAGCGGACAATATTGCCACTCCTATTTGCCATATCTTCAATCTAAGCCTACTAGAAAGTGTGTGCCCTCAGGCCTGGATGGAAGCAAAAGTAATTCCGCTACCCAAAAATAGTAAAGCACCCTTTACTGGCTCAAAGAGCCGACCAATCAGCCTGTTTTATTTTTTTTGTGTGAAAAAAAAATGTGTTTGACCAGATACAATGCTATTTTACTGTAAACAAATTGACATCAGACTCTCAGCCTGCTTATAGGGAAGGGCACTTAGCATGCTCGGCATCAACACAAATGACTGATGATTGGCTTAACGAAATTGATAATAAGAAGATTGTGGGAGCCGTTTTGTTAGATTTCAGTGCAGCTTTTGATACCATTGATCATAACCTATTGCTGAAAAAACTTAGGTGTTATGGATTTACATCCTCTGCCTTATCATGGATTGAGAGTTACCTATCAAATAGAACACAGAGGGTTTTCTTTCATGGAAGCCGCTCTAATGCAAATTCGGTTGAGTATGGTGTACCGCAGGGCAGCCGGCTTGGGCCATTATTGTTTTCTGTTTTTACCAATGACCTTCCACTGACCTTGAATAAAGCCTGTGTGTCTATGTATGCTGACGACTCAACCGTATACACGTCAGCTATGTCAGTAAAATAATTAACTGACACCCTTAACATAGAGCTCCAGTCAGTTTTAGAATGGGTATCTAAAAAACTAAAAGCATCATTTTTGGGACAAATCATTCACTCAACCCTAAACCTCATCTAGATCTATTACTGAATAATGTGGCGATTGAGCAAGTTGAGGAGACTAAACTGCTGGGTGTAACCCTAGATTGCAAGCTGTCATGGTCAAAACATATACACTCAATGGTTGCTAAAATGGTCTGTCCATGATAAGGCGTTGCTCTGCTTTCTTGACATCTAAATCAGCCAGGCAGGTCCTACAGGCCATAGTTTTGTCGCACCTGGACTACTGCCCAGTTGTGTGGTCTTGTGCTGCAAAGAAAGACATAGGAAAATTAGAGTTGGTCCAGAACAGAGCAGCACGTGTTGCATTTAGATTAACACAGAGGGCGAATGTCAGTGGTATGCAAGTCAATCTCTCCTGGCTCAAAGTGGAGGAGAGATTGACTGCATCACTATTGGTCTTTGTGCGAGGTGTTGATGAATTAAAGGTACAAACTGTCTGTTCAAGCAGTTGGCACACAGTTCGGACACTCATCGGTACCACACAAGACATGCAGCCAAAGGTCTTTTCACAGTCCCCAGGTCCAGGAAAGAGGCTGGGAATCTCACAGTATTAAATAGAGCCATGACTACATCAAACTCTGCCAGCCTAGGTAACTCAAGCTAGAAATAAAACCAGTTAAAACAAACAGATGGGGACTGTGAAGAGACATAGATATTTTTATATATTTGTATTGTGTTTTGCATTGTATTTTGCATTGTATTATGTATTGTGTAGTGTTATGTTTAGTAAGCATTATGTATTTTATTTGTGTTTTGTTTCCTGTTTGGACCCCAGGAAGAGCAAGGCAGCTGCTCATTGGAGATCCTAATAAAATACTAAATACAGATGGGCATAGTATCAAACTATCTGTTGATAAGCAACTGATTGTTAAGGTTAGGTTTAGAATAAGGATAAGGGTTAAGGTTAGGGCTAGGATTGCATATATACTGACAAGATACTGGACTGACCACTGTAACAATGGGAATAAATGTCCAAAAAGGAGGCAGAGAGGAGGTCGGGATCAGGCAGGAACCTTCTAGCCAATAAGAGGGCAGATATGCATGTGAAGTTAGTCTTTTTGAATGTGCTACTTCAACCAAGCCCTGTATTTGAATCCTGAGCTACCTGGGGGTTCCCCCCCACTTCCACTATCTGCAGCATCATCCCCCTGGCCACTGATCCATGTTCCCTATTTATCCCCTGTGCATTGCTGTGCGCCAGCCTTCCTCCCAGTCTTCTCTGCCAGAACGCATCCTTGTCCCGGGGCATGCCAACCTCGCAACTCCCCAGACAGTAGCTCCCCTCAAATCCCCCCCCGCTGTCCCCAGGGAAGAACGCCAGTAGCTCTCCATGTCAAAGTGAGTCGCTAGTCGTCTCCAGCTGAATCAAACCGGCAGGACCGTTTCCATATTTAGGGGAGAATGTGTGGAAGAGTCTGTTCAGTTTATAAGATTCTACTGGGAGATTCTAGGGACAAGACAGGAGAGAAAGGGCGGGGGTAAAAACTAACTCTTACACAAGAATGTGCGTACAAATACACTCCCCCAAACCAATGCCCCCCAGAGACACGCACATTCTCTAATCTGCTGACCTGGGCCACAGATGGGGCTGCAAGTCATAAATGAAATACTTTGTTGAGCCATCATTATTTTGTGTCTCAGTAAAACACAGTACTATTGTCCTTTACATACAGTGTTTACTGCCCATGCATGTGTCACAAGCAGAGTTCTAAAATCCCATGGCAAACACCACAGATGCAGGCCAAAGTACAAAGGTTCTTTATTATATTTAAATTCAGCTTTTACAATACACAGTATCCCTACGGCCCGATAAGAGAGATAAAATGGCTAGGATTTAGGGCTATAGGCTAACTATGAGCGCAGGGCAAACTAACACAGTAGTGGATTCACTCACAGAGCAGTGGCCAATATTTGTTAGATTCCTTCTGAGAAGTGTTCATTAGTCGCTACCTGAGAAGGGGTCGGTTGTCAATGGCAGTCGCTGGCTGTCCCCCTCTCCACACTGGCCGGCTACGTGGTAGCGTTGGGTGTAGCCTTTCGCAGCTGCGTCGGGCGTGTCCCCAGTGACTGTAGTCGCAGGGGACAGAAAACATACAAATCCTTTAGTAGCACTATAGAGAGTGTTGTATGAATTGAGCTCTTGGTAGCATAGCTCAGTTGTCGGTGGCTGCTTGCTGGGCGGTCTCTCGCTCTGCACCGGGCCTGCTGGGTTGTAGCATTGGGTGTAGCCTCTCACAATTACGTTGGGCGTGTCCCCCGTGTTAGCAGGCGAGGTGCACAACAGTAACGAGGTGGCAGTCGAGAGGTCCCCAATACCGATCACACTGAAGGTAAGTTCCAGTTCCTTTTAACTCTAGTTCTGGGGCGTGTTTAGAAATTAGTTTGGGGAGGTAGGAGGTGATAGAGAATTGGCAACAGCTGTCTCAAATAATCAATATAGTCCATTCCTATCTGGGGGATCACAGCACACCATGCAAGCAAACAAATAGTTCATGCAATTCAATTTCACAAGTGAGAATGTCAGAAGTTAAGTAAAAGGCAATCATAAACAACCCACAGCGCACGTGATTAAAAGGCACTCATAAATAGGCATGATTAAAGAAAAAGACCTGCTGATTCTTAATATAAAGTAAATGGCAGTCTATAGTTTAGTAAGAGTCAGTATCACTTGTGACACAGGTACTGTTAAAATTAGGCAGTAATAAGCAATACAAGCAATAAGTAGCGGAGCAGTTTAGTCTAGAGTTATTTTTAAGAGGCATGGCCCTGTTTCAGTTACTCTGCTCTCTCTCTCTGCTCCTAGTAGGGTAATTACATTCTCTTTGCTAGCTGTCTCATTTCCAGTAGAAAGTTTATTTTACAAAACTTTCATCTCAAAGCCAGTTTGAACTCACTGGAGGTTCGTAGGCATCGTGTGCTAACAGAATAGGACAAGGATGAGCTTCCGCCACTGTTCTCTGCTTTTACATCTAACAGGACATGAACAACCTTACACTTAAAACTTCAACAGAGTTGTATTATTATCTGTGTAACTGCACAAGCCTAAACCACACACACAACATTATGCAATATTTTCCTCTCTACCCTTGCATGCAATTTGTGTCACTTCCTCTTTCTCTCCATCTCTCTCTCTACTATCAGACACAGTATACAATTAATAGATGAATACTCTGCCATTTCTGTTGACATTTATTCCTTATGGCGATGAGGCTTGTCCTGGGTAAACAATGTGAGGGATAGGAACAAGGAAGAACACACCATTTTATCAGTGCTAACAGTGCTCTGGAGCCAGGGGGGGGTGTGTGAGAGAGCGTATGAGAGGGGTAAGAGGGCACTGCTTTGTCCTTGTCATGCAGCAAGGCTGGCATAGCTGCCAGGGCTTCCCAAAGAAGAGTTCACAACAAAACACAGCCCATGTCTGACAGGACTACTCTAACAAGATGTCTCTCCTTGTTTTTCATGATCTCTGGGTTGAGATCAAACTTTTCCAAAATGGCATATTCCCCTAGGCAGCTCCTTATTTGTCAGAGGCATTCACTAGCAGCATGAGCTAAGGTTATTAATGCTTCGTTGAAGCCTGCCATTGGGTGCTTTTTGGTTCAGTGTAGGAGGTTGTGTGTGTGTGCATATATACAGTATGTGTGTATGTGTACGGGTGTGTATCTGCATGTGCCCATGGAAAATTGCATTGTGGGATTTTCATGCTTCATTGCAACAATACATCCTGCCATTGTTTAACTCTGAAGCCTTTTAAGAAACCCTGTTAGGCTTTAGATTGTTTGGGGATTTAGAGACCTTCTGCACGAGCCTCTTCCCTTCTGGGAAAAAGAGAATGAAAGATTCTCCACTTTCAGGGACAGCTGGCTGGCTGCTGTGAACTGTCTAACTGTGTCAGGTGAGAGAACAGAGCAGGCCTGGATGACTACAGTATGTATGAGTTTGGTAGGAGGATTCCTGTGTAGCACCATGTGTGAGTGCTTCTATGGGTCCCTGTAACTTGTGTGTGTGTGTGTGTGTGTGTGTGTGTGTGTGTGTGTGTGTGTGTGTGTGTGTGTGTGTGTGTGTGTGTGTGTGTGTGTGTGTGTGTGTGTGTGTGTGTGTGTGTGTGTGTGTGTGTGTGTGTGTGTGTGTGTGTGTGTGTGCGCGTGCGTGCGTGTGTGTTTTGTGCACGTGTAAGAGGAGGTGATTATATTACTTACAGGAAAAGATAGACAGATGGATATCAATAAGCAATATTACTTACATATGAAAAGAGAAAATGTTTACAGTATGTACTGCAGCTTTGGTTTATTTCTAAAAAAAAATCAGGTAGATACATTTACCCTGGGATAAGCTGGTAGGGGGAATCTGTAATTGGACGGCAACACTTAGCTACAAGATACTATAGAACATGACTAAGTGGACGTTTCATCTACTATATACTCTGAAAAATGGTGATTGCAATCTAGGAAACTTTTGGAAGTCATATCTAGTTCAACAAAACTATTGCATGTGCTTTGGACGAAAGTTTATGATTTTCATCTGAAGGATGATGTTTTCCCTTATGATATACTCTTGCTAGACTGGGCAAAGGTCTCTAGTTACTATTGGGGATATCCTGTTCATACTATGTTCTGATTGGACATTAGGGTGTCAATGAACCTTAAAGGAGAAAATCAGATTTCAGAACACCTATCATGTGAACAGGAAGTGACGTGTCTTCCACGATGACAAGTGCTGCTTGCTGTAATAGGGACATCATATCTTATATTTCAGGGGATACCTCATGGATAACATGCTAGGAGTTCAAATGATCTGGAGAGAGTTGGTGAAAGGAGGACTTTGTCCGCTGAATTTTTCTAGGCAGCCATCGGAAAAGCGTCTTGCACAACTTTTTGCTTTTAACCTTGGACTTGGTCATGGTCTTAGTGATGGCATTCGTCAGCAAGGTGGGGTTGTGAGGCAGGTAGGGGGGAAATGTTGGAGTGTTGTTGTCAGCCCTCTGAGGATTCAGAACCTCCAAGAAACGTCTCTCTTGCTGCCTGAAGTCATACTCCACACTGCAGGGACAGAGAGATAGAGCAAGAAAGAGGGTGAAAACTGAGAAAAGCATAAACAGGAGGAAAGAGTCAAACCGATCTGACCATGCTTCCTGTGTTTCACCTGTAGACGATACAAGCAGTCTTCTGACAGGTGGAGCACTCCCTGAGGTCCTGCCCTGTCCTGTAGCATCGCCGACTGAAACAAAGAGCAGGAGATATAAAAGGCCAAGGGCAGTCAAAAACTTGATTTTCCTGTTTTATATACATTTCCACACTATGAGTTTGGAATAATACTGTGAAATTGTGAAAATTATGATAATGCCCTTTTAGTGTAAGAGCTGTTTAAAAAGACTGTCTGAAATTACCATGCAGTAAATTAGTTAATAGACCAATAAGAAAGAGAGTTCCAAACCTCTATGCCAGTAAAAGCTAATATTCTGTATTCCCCTCCCCAATCAGACCACTGAGAAATTGCCCTTTGATAAGAATCTATTTTTGTTTATTTTTGACCATTGTAATTGAAAACAGTCACATGAATGTACTTAATTGTCACCCAGAAATGATATGATATTGAGATAAAAACGTCTGCAATGGACATTTAATAACACTATTATTAATAATAACACTCTTCTTTCTAATGTCATCCTGTTCTCCTTCTCTACTCACTCCTTCCCACCCCTTCTATCTCCCTTTCTTTTTCTCATCCTTTCTCGTGATCACTCTATCTTCCTTCCTGTCTCTTACCCCATGCTGAGAGCTTGGCTCATCTCCAGGTCTTGGATGATGTTGAGAAGGGTAGTGATCTTGTCCTGGTTGGCTGCCAGGTTGGCCTCTACAAACTGCAGCCTCCGTTGGAGAGGGGCTGGCTTGCTGCACTGTGGGGAAGGGGGCAGCAGGGCTGCGTCTGCCGGGTGGGAGTGAGCCAGCCTGGGATCGTCTAGGGAGGGCTGTGGGGTGGTGCTTGACGATAAAAATGGTAATACTGGATGGATCATCTGGTGTGTCTGATTGGGATGGGTGAGGGTGTAGAATGCTAGGTGTGCCATGCGTGATGGCGGCAAAAGGCGGTTGCACTTGGGGTCTATGGCTGTGTGTGTGAGGAGCTCAGTGATGGTGTATGGACGGGCCTGTGGTATGAGTCGGTGTGTGGGGCTTGTGTGTTTGTTTGGCGTTGATGTGGAACTGAAGTCTGTGTTTCTGTGGTTTGGTGTTTTGGTGACGGGTTTGACATGTGCAGTAGTGTTCATCTGTGATGCAATGAGGGCCTTAGGGTCTGTTTGTGTCTGTGGTGTGATGGAAGGTGGAACGTCATTTGTGTATATCTGCCCGTCAAGTCTGAATGCGCTGGAGGGAATGTGCTCTGTGTGTGAATGTAGCTGAGGCTCAGACCCAGGTTTTAGGTTTGTGACAAAGTGTCCCTGCTTTTCTCCTTCTTTGTTTGTCTCCTTTTCAGTGATGCATTTTGGGAGGTTAGTGACCTGTGATGCATTGGACATTCTAGAGTGCCTTTCCTCATGTGTCTGTGATACGATGACAGGATTACAGTGTGTGTTTCTGTTGGAGACAGTCAGTAGTTTTGGATATACATTTGCGTGCATTATTGGTTCAACGACAAATCGTTTATGAGTGTTTGTGTGATAGGCAGTGGTTTGTTCAGCATGTGTCTTTATACATGTTACCTTATGTGATCTATTTGAATGGTCAGGTGGTTTATTGTGTTGTGTCTGTGTCATTATCAATGGTCTACAGTTAGTCAGTGATGTGGTTGAGGGATGACGCTGATTAGCTATGTGTAACCCATTTGAAGAGTGAGTGGGTGTAGTTGTTTGTGACGCGTTATCAACATTGGGGGGTGTTTTGGGGGATGTATAAGCTAAGTAAGGGGATATAGGTGTGTTTGAAAGGTTAGGGTTAAGGGACAAAGGCTTTGGGCGTGTTGTTGGGTGTATTGTGGTATAATAGTATGTGGGTGTAGTTGTGTGTGATGTGATATAAGGGTTAGCCAGAGTGGTGGTATATGGTGTGTTTGCTGGAGTTGTAGTTGTGTGTAATGTGTTAGCATGGCTAGGGAGTGTTCTATACATCATTGTGGTAGCTGTGTTTGGGAGTGTTGTTGTTGTCGGTGTGCATACAGGGGTAGGTGGTGTAGCTGTGTGCGCGTTTGCAGAGTTAGGGGGTTTAGTTGCGTGTGTGTTGGTGGGATAAGGGGGTGCACTTCTATGTAATGTTGTAGCAGTGATAGAAAGTGTTGTTGTGTGTGGTGTGTTTTCAGGCTTAGGGGGTTTAATAACACAGGATGGGTTTACATGGTTTGGAGGAGAGGTTCTGTGTGGTGGGTTTACAGGGTAAGGTTGAGTGTTTGAGGGGTTGGGTTGTGTATTTGGGTGTCTGGGTGTCTTTGGATGCTTACGGTGTGTGCGTGGCGTGTTTGGTCTTGTGGCTATGGCGATTTGGGGAGAAAGTTTGAGCGGTGTCGGTCGGGGAATCTTACTCAAGTGAGATGGGGTCTCAAGGAAGTTGGCATCTGCACGCCTGGGTTCAATTGTTGCCTTGGTGACTGTAACCGTTGTTGTGTGTAAGATGGTTGTGAGGCTGGTTGGCTTGTCTGAGTGTGCATGTGAAGGTGTGTCTAGGGTTTCTACTGGGTCTCTGCTAGTGGAATGCAGGGGGTATGTAGGATGTGAGGTATAACTATTAGTCTGTTTCAGATCTCCATTTTGCCATGCAGGTGGTGGGTTTTCAGGCAGATTGGGTTTCCTGTCTTTGTTGTTCTGAATAGGGGGATTACAGTGGGGGTGGGTGGATAGAGAGTCTGTGTGTGTCCACTGGCTTTGTGTCCGATCCCTGTATGCAATCCTCAGAGGAGAGAATGCAGAGTCTCTCTCTTTCTCAGTATGTGAAGTTGGAAGATGGTTTCTGTCTGTGAGTGAAGGAGGTGTTTTCATGGCTGTTGTTCCTTCAGGGCATGCAGAGGAAGGGCTCTTATCTCCCAGATTGGCAGCTCCAGCTCCATCTCCAGCTCCAGCGACCACAGTCTGTCTCCCTCCACAGTGGCTGCAGATCCGCTGGGGCATTTGGAGAGGTGGGAGAGCAGGTGGTCGTTTTGCATTCCCACAATATGAATGTGCCACAGAATGTTCTTTAGGTTTTGATTGGTCCCCTACTCTAGAGGACATGGTCGAGACAGGCTCCGCCTCATCACGGCCATCAATACAAATCCCTCCTATAGCCTCAGAGTCAACTACACTGCCATTTGTGTAGCGCATGTCCTGCCTCCCTTTGAGCTTGCTATTCCCCATGCCCCCTGATAAGTGTGGGTTAGTCTTGATTGCTCGGGCATAGCAATAAGTCCCACTTTTCCATTGGTTGAAGAGCACATTCTTTGTGAGCTTACTGGAAATTCCTTCAAAAGTCACACCCTTTTTGATCTTGGAATCTAAACTCCTCTGTTTTGAAAGAGCCACTCTTTCTCTGACACTCTTAGTCCGTCTGATTCCCTCCTCTTCCTTTGGCTCCTTTGGGATGTAGCCATTGGATTTGGGAGTAATCCTGCTGTCTGATTGCCTGGGGAATGGGCCAATTAGTTGTGTGCCCTGCAGGATGGGTGGGGCTCTTACACAGGGTGAAGTCTGCACTCCGATGCTGCACTGGGGACCCCATGTCAGTGGCAGCACTTCACCGGCCCTTTCCCCTCCTGCTGTCCTCCAACCACGCACCCCCACCAGGGCGGGAACTCCCAGTACTGGCACGGCAGTGGTCAGGTCAGCCGCCCGTCTCCCCATCACCTGGTCAACTGGCTCAGAGGCCTAAAATCCCTGGAGAGCTGGTGTCCACCTTTACCATCACATCTATTGGAAAAGTAAATGTTAGTTTACTGTGAAGAGCACATTTTCAAAAGTTATGTTTATAGTCACTTTGAATGTTTATTCTGTGAAAAGAATATGTACAGGGGAAGAACAATTGAATTCAAACAAAGTACACATCAAGGACACTGCCAAAGCTGCCCATATGCAGCAGAAATAGAGGACAAGCAGAGGTCTAAAGCTTTGATAGCAGATTGGAGATAGTCATGAATAATGGATATTTTGAAGTCTACCACAGCTTAGAACAAAATAATATTAATATAGATGAATACACCTACACTGGCAATAGGAGACAATATTATGTGAGATAATGTGGGAGAGATTGTTTAAGTACTGTGAGCTGGGTTGCAGTGCCCTTATGACAACAAGGTATCACACAGCAGGACAGGGGGGGGGGTGCAAAACAGTCAAGAAACAGTCAAGCTAATTGGAGTCCTTCCTATGACCCTTGTTTACTTTTAGCTCATTATATTCCGAACATAACAGCATGGTCTGCCCAGGCTGTGTTTTCTTCAGAGCTCATACTTCAGACATCATCTAGTCACAGCATGACTCCTGTGCTGACCTCCCTCCCTGTCTCCTCGGTTACCCGTGCCCACACTGGGCAGCCTCTTACACTGTCCTATCCTCTCCTGCATTTAGCCCACCTTGGGCAGCAGATAATGTATGCATTTATGCTAACGACTTCATTAAAGCCTGACAAGGGGAAATTAATTAGTGGCTGTGTGTGCATTTAACTGACACACTCACTATATGCCAGGGTAGCTGTATGTGTATGCGTGTGTGTGTGTTTATTTTACTGATGCATAGAACTACAATTCAGTGGCCAAAGCAAGGACAAAAGTGTGTGTGTGTGTGTGTGTGTGTGTGTGTGTGTGTGTGTGTGTGTGTGTGTGTGTGCATGCATGCATGCATCAACAAAAAAATCACACAGCCCACCCCAACCCACAGGCTTCATGCATTGCTGTCAGAATTACAGGCAGATCATCTATTCAATTGAGCCTGCAGGCACCACTTTTTGGCTGTCACATTGTGGATGTCACTTGGTTACAGTCCAACTGACTCCCATCTGATGTCACTCCGGAACAGTCAGTGAAAAATGCCTTAACCCCTCTTCAGACACAGCTGATAAAGCTGCCATTAATTCCCTAGCACAGGCAATAGGGGTAAACTGTGTCATTTCATCACCATTAGATTACTGCTACCTCATTTATATCCAGGACAGTGCAATAAGAATCCTGTCCCATACCTTCACAGTCAATCTTGACGGGCTCACATAACATGTTCAGGTGACTTACCATTGTTAGCGTTTGTCAAGCCCTGGGTCTAGCTGTGGTTCTTCTCACTTTGTCCTTTAGGTGTTCTGGGTACAGATGTGGGGGTCACCCTCTCCCCCTTGCCCCCTCACCACCTTGTCTCCCTCCTCTGTACTCCTCTGCTCCAAGTCTTTGAGGAGGGGGGCACTGAGTGACTCTCTTTTGATAAGGTTGAATCCCTTCTCCCTTTCAGTCCCTCGGTGGCACACACAAACTCATATGCATATGCACTATGCAGGCAAACAGTGGTGCAAAGCCATATTCTCTGGTGGTTAGTATTCAAAAAGCTCTGAGTCACTGCTAATCTGGCTCCCTCAAACTAGGCATGTAGTCCAGCTCCGTCCTCAGTTTATTCCCTCTCTGCTTCTCTTGTTTTGGTCCCTCTCCTCCTTCCTGACTCCCTGCTCACATCACAGCAACATGATACACTGCCCTCCTCTCAGCACACTGTCCAACACTCCATATCCCTCACCCTCTTTCTTCGTCCCTCCCTCTCTCTATCCCTCTTTCTCTCTCACTATTCCCTCTCTCATGCGCACACACACAGATCTATGGCTGGGTGACGGGAGAGAGAGAGAGAGAGAGAGAGAGAGAGGGAGAGAGAGAGAGAGAGGGAGAGAGAGAGAGAGAGAGAGAGAGAGAGAGAGAGAGAGAGAGAGAGAGAGAGAGAGAGAGAGGTGACTACAATCACAAGGGAAGGGACTAGGTGAAAAGTACCATCAGACTTGGAAAACAAGACATGGCAAACTGCTGCAGGGTATCCCATCATCAGAGGAGACATGATCGTTTTCCCAGTGTCTCTCAACATATCATGTGGGTGATGAGGGTGTTTGACAGCAGTTTCTGTATATAAAACTTTAATGTTTGATCAGAAGATTTTGTGATACAAGAAAAAAATAAAAATAAATAGCTAATTTGAACTGTTTTTTTTTTGCTAATGATATTCTGGAGGTAATACTTCTGCCACAGACTGTGTGTGTGTGTCCATAGAACCTTGTGCTGACAAAAACAGATCAAATGTAATACAGTACCCCTACACATAAATACTCTCTCAGAATATAAGATATTTCACAATTTGAACATTTTACAGCCAGAATTAATAATTCACAACAGCAGCTATCAGGTAAAGCTACAGTGAAATCCAATATACATCTTCATAAAATGATGTCATGTTCTCTCTATGCAGGGAATCAGGATTATACTCTGTTTAACTGAAAAATTATTTGAAATAACAAAAAAGTTATTTTAACAGTGTGTACAGTGTAACGACACATTGTTTAACTCTGAGGTAATTACAGCTTGATATCTTATAATTTTGTATTAACCCTTATTCTGAGTTGTAGTGCAGTCATGGATTGTTTATGGTTTTATTGGGTATTGCTGCCATCTACTGTCTCAAAATATACCACCCCACAAACACATGCTTATGATAAGAAGTTATTTCAATATGTTTAAGTTTTATATATCCATGAAACTCCAGATATTGGCCAATATAATATTGAATCACACACAAGTGTCACATTTTATAGTTTTCAATCTTGCATTTTTTAGTGACAGTAAATTCCAGTTGTCGATTCAAGGATTATCCTCATCACAACATGTATGGTGTTCATTTCACTTTGGGAAGAGAAGGAAGTACGGTTATTTGGGTCATCAGCAAGCCTTTTCATGCATACCCCATCACCCTCCTCCAGATGAGGTACAGCTGCATTAGATGCAAACCTTCTATAACCAGCAGTATCAATTTCATCAACATACAATACTGACTTATCATTGATATACAGCTGGGCATCCATATAGTTTTCACTGTTACCACAAAGGGTACATTTGAAGTAGCAGACCAATCTCACTGGTGCAGTGAAGAAACCTGTATCAGAGGAAAATCACAGCGAGATCAGTCCTCAGTCTCTCGCTAACATAGAGATGAGCTCCAGTTTAGCTTTTTATTATTCATACTTGTAAATACAATACCTGTAATTGAGTTGTAGTGGTTTCCGATGTTAGTGAAGATGTGTTTGTAGGCCATAGTGATTATAGTGCTGAAGGGCCCTAATTCTCCACTGATTCCCATTGAGGTAGAGAATGCTACCTTTGGTCTGTCTGTCAAATTACAGGGACAATATACAGTACAACACATGAGGCATCATACGTTGGTTATTCTTCTGGATCTTCCTTGTTTCGTATTTCTCATGATGATTTTTGTGGTAATAGCTTCCACCAGGTTAGATATGGCTTTCAGTAAGCATACTTCACGCCAGTCCTATTCAGTTTAGTTTTCATTATTTATCAAATTGAGACGTATACTTTACATGTAAGTCGCTCTGGATAAGAGCGTCTGCTAAATGACAAAAAAAAAAAAAAAAAAAAAAAAAAATGTAGTTGCTGGTCATACAGGTGTGCAATCTGACTGGTATGTATTTTAATTAATGGACAATAATGGACCCAACCTATATACTGTATGTCATCCCATTATTTATAATAAGTGCTAATAATATTTGCAATTGTGGTTTGGGGATGAGACACCTCATACGATACAATAATTTTACTGTTTTTACCTGCATTGTCTCTTTTCAGGTATTTGTATTTAATTGGGATCCCCATTAGCTTCTGCCAAGGCAGCAGCTACTCTTCCTGGGGTCCAAACACATTTAAGCATTTACATTACATATAAAACAAAAGATAAAACAGTACATCATAAAATATTATTACACCACTACATACAGTGCCTTCGGAAAGTATTCAGACCCCTTGACATTTTCCACATTTTGTTAGGTTACAGTCTTATTCTAAAATTGATAACATTGTTTTTTGCCCCAATCTACACACAATACCCCATAATGACAACGCAAAAACAGGTTTTTAGAAATGGTTGCTAATTATAAAAAACGGAAATATCACATTTACATAAGTATTCAGATCCTTTACTCAGTACTTTGTTGAAGCACCATTGGCAGCGATCACAGCCTCCGGTCTTCTTGGGTATGCCGTTACAAGCTTGGCACACCTGTATTTGGGGAGTTTCTCCCATTCTTCTTTGCAGATCCTCTCAAGCTCTGTCAAGTTGGATGGGGAGAGTTGCTGCACAGCTATTTTCAGGTCTCACCTCAGATGTTCGATCGGGCTCTGGCTGGGCCACTCAACGACATTCAGAGGCTTGTCCCGAAGCCAATCCTGCATTGTCTTGGCTGTGTGCTTAGGGTCGTTGTCCTGTTGGAAGGTGAACCTTCACCCCAGTCTGAGGTCCTGAGCGCTCTGGAGCAGGTTTTCATCAAGTATCTCTCTGTAATTTGCTCCGTTCATCTTTGCCTCAATCCTGACTAGTCTCCCAGTCAATGCCACTGAAAAACATCCCCACAACATGATGCTTCCATCACAAGCCAGGTTTCCTCCAGACGTGACGCTTGGCATTCAGGCCAAAGAAATCAATATTGGTTTCATTGGACCAGAGAATCTTGTATCTCATGGTCTGAGAGTCTTCAGGTGCCTTTTGGCAAACTCCAAGCAGGCTGTCATGTGCCTTTTACTGAGGAGTGGCTTCCGTCTGGCCACTCTACCATAAAGGCCTGATTGGTGAAGTGCTGCAGAGATGGTTGTCCTTCTGGAAGGACAGATAGATAGGTTGTCCTTCTCCCATCTCCACAGAGGAACTCTAGAGCTCTGTCAGAGTGACCATCGGGTTCTTGGTCACCTCCCTGACCAAGGCCCTTCTTCCCCGATTGCTCAGTTTGGCCGGGCGGCCAGCTCTAGGAAGAGTCTTGGTGGTTCTAAACTTCTTCCATTTAAGAATAATGGAGGCCACTGTGTTCTTGGGAACCTTCAATGCTGCATAAATGTTTTGGTACCCTTCCCCTAGATCTGTGCCTCAACACAATCCTGTCTCGGAGCTCTACAGACAATTCCTTCGACCTCATGGCTTGGTTTTTGCTCTGACATGCACTGTCAACTGTGGGACCTTATATAGACAGCTGTGTGCCTTTCCAAATCATGTTCAATCACTTGAATTTACCACAGTTGACTCCAATAAAGTTGTAGAAACATCTCAAGGATGATCAATGGAAACAGGATGCACATGAGCTCAATTTCGAGTCTCATAGCAAAGGGTCAGAATACTTATGTAAATGTATTTATTTTATTATTTTTATTATTTTTTTTCACCTTTATTTAACCAGGTAAGCCAGGTATTTCTGTTTTTAATTTTTAATACATTTGCAAACATTACTGAAAACCTGTTTTCGCTTTGTCATTATTGGGTATTGTGTGTAGATTGCTGAGAAATTGTTTTTATTTAATCAATTTTAGAATATGGCTGTAATGTATCAAAATGTGGAAAAGGTTAAGGTGGCACGTCTTGTGGGGGTATTCATGGGTGTCCGAGCTGTGTGCTAGTAGTTTAAACAGACAACTCTGTACATTCAGCTTGTCAACACTTCTTACAAAAACAAGTAGTGATGAAGTCAATCTCTCTTCCACTTTGAGCCATGAGAGATTGACATGCATATCATTAATGTTAGCTCCCCGTGTACTTTTAAGGGCCAGCCGTGCTGCCCTGTTCTGAGACAATTGTAATTTTCCTAAGTCCCAGTTTTACAGTCATTTTCTTAATGGGTGCATGCTTATTAATAACTGGAATAAGCAATTGCATAAATGTGTCAAGTGCAGCGTCTGGTTGCTCCTCATTACAAACCACAGACCAACAAATATTCTTTACATCATCAACATAAGAATCACTACAAAACTTATTGTATGACCTCTTTCTTACACACTATATAAGGCCCAGCCTTTGGAACTTTGGTTTTCCTAGATATGGCTACTATATTGTGATCACCACAGCCTATGGATTTGGATACTGCTTTAAAGCAAATTTCTGAAGCATTAGTAAAGATGTGATCAATACATGTTGATGATTTCATTCCTGTGCTGTCTGTAACTACCCTTGTAGGTTGACTGATAACCTGAACCAGGTTGCCGTCACTGGTTACATTTTTAAGCTTTTTCTTCAGTGGGCAGCTTGATGAAAGCCAGTCAATATTTAAATCACCCAGAAAATATACTTCTCTGTTGATATCACATACATTATCAAGCATTTCACACATATTATCCAGATACTGACTGTTAGCACTTGGTGGTCTATAGCAGCTTCCCACCAGAGTGGGCTTTAGGTGAGGCAGGTGAACCTGTAGCCATATTACTTCAACAGTATTTAACATGAGATCCCACAGAATGTGGTTCTGAATATAAACCGCAACACCGACCCCGTTGGCATTTCTGTATTTTCGGTAGATGTTATAACCATGTACAGTGAGGGAAAAAAGTATTTGATCCCCTGCTGATTTTGTAAGTTTGCCCACTGACAAAGACATGATCAGTCTATACTTTTATTGGTAGGTTTATTTGAACAGTGAGAGACAGAATAACAAAAAAAATAATCCAGAAAAACGCATGTCAAAAACGTTATAAATTGATTTGCATTTTAATGAGGGAAATAAGTATTTGACCCCTCTGCAAAACAGTTTCTTGAAGTTGGCCACCAGGTTTGCACACATCTCAGGATGGATTTTGTCCCACTCCTCTTTGCAGATCTTCTCCAAGTCATTAAGGTTTCGAGGCTGACTTTTGGCAACTCAAACCTTCAGCTCCCTCCACAGATTTTCTATGGGATTAAGGTCTGGAGACTGGCTAGGCCACTCCAGGACCTTAATGTGCTTCTTCTTGAGCCACTCCTTTGTTGCCTTGGCCATGTGTTTTGGGTCATTGTCATGCTGGAATACCCATCCACGACCCATTTTCAATGCCCTGGCTGAGGGAAGGAGGTTCTCACCCAAGATTTGATGGTACAAGGCCCCATCCATCGTCCCTTTGATGCGGTGAAGTTGTCCTGTCCCCTTAGCAGAAAAACACCCCCAAAAGCATAATGTTTCCACCTCTATGTTTGACGGTGGGGATGGTGTTCTTGGGGTCATAGGCAGCATTCCTCCTCCTCCAAACACGGCGAGTTGAGTTGATGGCAAAGAGCTCGTTTGTGGTCTCATCTGACCACAACACTTTTACCCAGTTCTCCTCTGAATCATTCAGACGTTCATTGGCAAACTTCAGACGGCCTGTATATGTGCTTTCTTGAGCAGGGGGACCTTGCGGGCGCTGCAGGATTTCAGTCCTTCACGGCGTAGTGTGATACCAATTGTTTTCTTGGTGACTATGGTCCCAGCTGCCTTGAGATCATTGACAAGATCCTCCCGTGTAGTTCTGGGCTGATTCCTCACCGTTCACATGATCATTGCAACTCCACGAGGTGAGATCTTGCATGGAGCCCCAGGCCGAGGGAGATTTACAGTTATTTTGTGTTTCTTTCATTTGCGAATAATCACACCAACTGTTGTCACCTTCTCACCAAGCTGCTTGGCGATGGTCTTGTAGCCCATTCCAGCCTTGTGTAGGTCTTCAATCTTGTCCCTGACATCCTTGGAGAGCTCTTTGGTCTTGGCCATGGTGGAGAGTTTGGAATCTGATTGATTGATTGCTTCTGTGGACAGGTGTCTTTTATACAGGTAACAAGCTGAGATTAGGAGCACTCCCTTTAAGAGTGTGCTCCTAATCTCAGCTCGTTACCTGTATAAAAGACACCTATAGGAGCCAGAAATCTTTCAGATTGAGAGGGGGTCAAATACTTATTTCCCTCATTACAATGCAAATCAATTCATAACATTTTTGACATGTGTTTTTCTGGATTTTTTTGTTGTTATTCTGTCTCTCACTGTTAAAATAAACCTACCATTAAAATTATAGACTGATCATTTCTTTGTCAGTGGGAAAACGTACAAAATCAGCAGGGGATCAAATACTTTTTTCTCTCACTGTATTGCTACCACTGTATCATCAAAGGTATTATCTAAGTGAGTTTCAGAGACAGTCAGAATATGAATGTCATCTGTTACAAGTAAGTTAGGTAGTCCACTAACTTCCCGCTAACTGTCAACCTGGCCTCCATTGTGGAAAGCTACATTGATTGTGCTGAAATGATTGACAATACTGTTTGAGTAAGGGGATTTCTAAATGTACAGCCTAAGATAAATATTAATCAGCAGTCTATTTCACCTTCATTGCTTCTCTTCAGATCTTCCACCTGGCTCTCACTGCTTCTCAGCCTGGCCTCCATTAATCATAAAAAATACATATATTGTAATAATATCTTGAGGTTATGCTGACTAATAAACGCATAATCACAAAATCGTACACTTGTGTAAAAGTGTTATTGTATTATTTACTTGTACCTGCTTTGTCTTTCTCCATCTTCTCCTGTTAAGCCTCTGCAGCTGTTATTTTGGTCTCGATCACTATGAAAATACATGAATCAAACAAACAATGACAACGGAATCAGAAATAGAATGAGAATAAAATGTGAAAGGGTTGCATATTCGTACCAGAGTACCTGACAACAATTTTTGATTGGACTATTTTTTCAAACGTTGACAATTATTTGGCCTACCTGTATTCCTCCTTCAAGTTTCCTCTACTTTACCCTCGCTGGCATTGAGTCTTGTCTCCAGGCCTAAGGCAACAAATATTTTAGTATTATTCATGAATTCATGTGAGAATTAATTAAGCATTTTGACCATTTAAAGTTATCTTTATATTTGACCTGCATTGCCATTCCTCAGTTTTACCACTTGGCTCTCACTGTCTTTCAGTCTAGCCTCTGTATCTAAAACAACAATAAAGTAAAACATGCATCACTTCTCCCTAAAATAGATCATATTGGCTACAATATAAATGAGATTTTGGCCATTCGTACATGTACAACATACCTAGACCTGGTATTTTCAACTCCTCCACCTGACGTTTTGTGACAGCTATCTCCACTCTCTGATCCATCACAATGTCTCTCAGTTCTTTCAGCTCAGTCCAGAGGTCAAGTGGGTTAGTTGTCTGTTTGTCATTGGAGGCACCAGCTTCATTTCTCCCATTCTGATCACTCTCTACCTGGCTCTGTCCCTCTTCTTTGAACCCCATTGTAAACGAGCCAACATTCTGATCACTCTCTACCTGGCTCTGTCCCTCTTCATTGACCCCCAGCTGACTTCCTCATCATCTTTCTTCCCCTGTGCCCCACCCAGAGAAGCAAGCAACACCAGAGATACTACTAAAACCCTGATCTTCAGTACACTGTCTTACAACCTGCTGGTAATGAAGTGTCTTGTCTGGGCCTGAACACCTTCTTGCTGACATTATGTAACATCAGCGCTCTGTAAATGGATCTAGTAAAAAACAAGGTCAAACCTAATGATTAATCGTGGAGTCCATCATATTATCTTAGAACAGTTCAACTTTAACAAAGTGCTGTAGGGGAGAATCAACCTGTGGAATATGTCAAGGTCTAGTGTTGTAGTATCTTTGTTGTATGTTTGTAGTATCGTGTCTATGCCATGTACAGTATCTGGTTTTTGAGTAGCAACAGCATGGATTATTGAAAAATAACTCTTATGTGATTCTACAATAACTATTTTCCCTGATTGTCATTGTCTGTTAGTCTCATGTTTTCCCTTTGTGTACGCCTCTGCCAACCTGTTCCACAATTGTACACTAGATGGCAGTATTGCCCTACAAATCAACTGATTCTGTACAATGTGAGTGAATGCAATATGATTATGATAGTTTTATATGAGTAAGAATATATGAATTGGATACATTTCCAATAATATAATGTAAGATCATTGACCAGTCATTTATGGGCCAATGTATTCCCATGAAAAGGTTATTTGGCTATACACCAAATATGATTTATATTCACGTGAAGCACCCCCCTGTATATTCTCACCTCACAGGATTGACATTTATTTAATCCAATGTCTGGTTTGAGATCAAATGCATCCTCAATTATTTCAATAAAGAAAAAACAGAAAGTTGTATCTGTTAAATTGAGTAACAAAAACATAATGGTTCATTAACACCTGCTCTTTCCATGACATAGACTGACCAGGTGAATCCAGGTGAAAGCTATGATCCTTTATTGATGAACCCTGTTATATTCACTAGAATCAGTGTAGACGAAGGGGAGGAGATAGGTTAAGGAAGGATTTTTAAGCCTTGAGACAATTGAGACATGGATTGTGTATGTGTTCCATTCAGAGGGTGAATGGCCAAAATAAAATATTTAAGTGCCTTTGAACGGGGTATGGTAGTAGGTGCCAGGCACTGGTTTGAGTGTGTCAAGAACTGCAACGCTGCTGTGTTTTTCATGCTCAACAGTTTCCCGTGTGTATCAAGAATGGTCCACCACCCAAAGGACATCCAGCCAACTTGACATAACTGTGGGAAGCATTGGATTCAACATGGGCCAGCATCCCTGTGGAATGCTTTCGACACCTTGTAGAGTCCATGCCCAGACGAATTGAGTCTGTTCTGAGGGCAAAAGGGGGTGCAACTCAATATTAGGAAGGTGGTCTTAATGTTTTGTACACTCAGTGTATATACAGTAGTAACCTCTCTGCCCTATGGTCCATAATGGAACATACACTATATATACAAAAGTATGTGGACACCCGTTCAAATTAGTGAATTCGGTTATTTCAGCCACACCCGTTGCTGACAGGTGTATAAAATCGAGCACACAGCCATGCAATCTCTATAGACAAACATTGGCAGTAGAATGGCCTTAGTGAAGAGCTCAGTGACTTTCAACGTGGCACCATCATAGGATGCCACCTGTCCAACAAGTCAGTTTGTCAAATTTCTGCTCTGCTAGAGCTTCCCCGGTCAACTGTAAGTGCTGTTATTGTGAAGTGGAAACGTCTAGGAGCAACAGAACAGGGCCGCAGAGTGCTGAAGCGCGTAGCTCGTAAAAATCGTCTGTCCTCGGATGCAACACTCACTACCGAGTTCCAAACTGCCTCTGGAAGCAACGTCAACACAATAACTATTCGTCGGGAGCTTCATGAAATGGGTTCCCATGGCAGAGCAGCCAGACACAAGTCTAAGATCACCATGCGCTATGCCAAGCGTCGGCTGGAGTGGTGTAAAGCTCGCTGCCATTGGACTCTGGAGCAGTGGAAATGCGTTCACCATCTGCCAGTCCGACGGATGAATCTGGGTTCGGTCGGATGGCAGGAAAACGCTACCTGACCCAATGCATATTGCCAACTGTAAAGTTTGGTGGAGGAAGAATAATGGTTTGGGGCTGTTTTTCATTGTTCGGGCTAGGCCCCTTAGTTCCAGTGAAGGGAAATCTTAGCACTACAGCATAAAATGACATTATAGACGATTCTGTGCTTCCAACTTTGTGGCAACAGTTTGGGGAAGGCCCTTTCCTTTTCTTGGACAATGCCCCCGTGCACAAAGCGAGGTCCATACAGAAATGGTTTGTCGAGATCGGCGTGGAAGAACTTGACTGGCCTGCACAGAGCCCTGACCTCAACCCCATCAAACACTTTAGGGATGAATTTGAACACTGACTGTGAGCCAAGCGTAATCGCCCAACATCAGTGCCCGACCTCACTAATGCTCTTGTGGCTAAATGGACGCAAGTCCCTGCAACAATGTTCCAACATTTATCGGAAAACCTTCCCAGAAGAGCGGAGGCTGTTTTAGCAGCAAAGGTGGGACCAGCCCCATATTAATGCCCATGATTTTGGAATTAAATGTTCGACGAGCAGGTGTCCACAAACTTTTGGTCATGTAGTGTAGAGCCACATGTCATTGTTGATTTGTATATCGGGTTGATGCTGCGGAATTGACAACTGTGAAGAGGGAGGGTATGGAAGGTTCAGTTAATATCTGAGTTTTAGAATGTGTGTGTGCATGTTTGTGTGTGTTTATGTGTGTGTGTGTTTGTGTGGCAGATCCACAACTAATTACCATAGCCTAGTCCCCATGGTAAGCCATGTGAGTGTTAATTGAAGTACATTGTTGTGTTTTAAGTAGGCTGGAGTACTTTTCTGTGTTTGCTGCATTTATTTACCTCACCGTTTCCTGAAATCTCAGTGGCCAGCAAGTGGGACTATGGGGAGAGACTTCTCTCCAGAACATGGTTTTCACATTTATGTAGATGGATGGGTTTTAACCAGACAGGGATTGAGTGAGAGGTCATCTATAAAACATGACCCCTTGGGGTCCCAATGACTTCTGCATGGCTTCTCTCACTCCTGGGCTGTTGAAGTTATGTTTAGCAAGTCTCTTTCAAGAAACCGTTCACCACCTGGTCTCTTTTTATGAGTCCATGTGAGGCTTCCAGTGCATTAAAGTAATAAACTAATGAATATGATGATTCAATAAATCTTTATTATCCATGAAGGGCAATGTGTCTGTAGCAGAAAAACATAAAAACAAACACAGGACCATTTGAACAACAAAAACAAGTACCAGGGAAATGGGAAGGTAAAAAAAGCAATTATGAAAAATTATGAAAAGATACTACACTATGTCCAGCTGCTTAATACAAGTAAAATACTAATGCAATCATTAATGCAACATTATTACTTTTTGCTTGTATGGAGATGCTTATATGTATTCAGACAAACTAACACAAAGGAGAGTGCATTGTAACATGCAAACACTGAAAACATCTTCCTATGGGCTGAGAGGGCCTGAGAGGGGCCCATGTGGTGGGAGAGGACACTGCCATGCCATCTGTGTGTGTTGGAGTTGCGATTAATGATTCTGTTTAGTGTGAGCAGGGCCGCTCTGTGCTTGGGCTTGTGCCAGACCTTTAGAATCTGCTCAACTCTTTTAGTTGGGCCAGCTGCACTCACATTCATTTGTCCTATTGGCAGAAGCATGGCAGTGCTGCTAAATTGCCAGCTTCTCATCAAGAAGGCCTTGAAGCTACAGCCACTCCTAACAGCCTGTTTGTTTATTACAAAGCCCTTACAGCCATGGCTTCCAGAAACATGTTTCATTCATGACAGGAAACTGGGGAATACTAATCAGAGTGCAGGTGCTTCTCAACAGGTTACAGATTGACAGATAGAACCACAACATCCGCATGGAGTGTTGAGGGCAAGTTTTCTATATAAACTCACTGTGTGTATGTGCGTGCATATGTGTATGTCAATAGTGTGTATATGGGTGCTGTCTGATGATGCCCAGCATGCATGAGCAGAGCTGAACGGAACATCAGGCGTGTGGGAGAGGTGTTTTGTGGGTAGTGCCGAGGGGAACAGGGGGGGTCACAGAACCCTCTCTACAGTGCACATCTGAGTAGATGAGTGCTTGACTGGAGGCCCTTCTGCATTTTTTATCCACAGCCAGTAAAATATTCAGAGCTGTGAGTCTGGAGGGGGCCCAGGGCCATATGCACCTGTGAAGGAGGAAGAACAGGTCCCATAGAGAGTCATAATTAAGTAAGACACAGGGCAACTGTGAGAGCATGTGTGCACACACACACATACACACACACATACATACACACACGTGGATGGCGCTCTAAGAGAGATTGTGTAGATACAGAAAGATAACAAGCGGGCAAAGGTCTAATGACCCAGTTTAAACCTTACATTCGCAGAGCACTCCTTGTAGGCTTCTCAAAGTTAGGAATGACCCACCCTGGTTTTCTGGGTGTGTCAGAAGACTGCCCTGTAAGCAAAATGACGTTGAAAATACGTCTTTAAGACGTTTTTTTCCAGATGTTTACATCACGTGCATTTCAGATGCTGAATAAAAGGTTAGAAGACATATTTTCCGGGGATGAAAATATGTCTTATACAGACGTTGAAAAGACGTCTTACACGGACGTCAATAACACGTATTTTCTGAAAATACGTATGTTTTGGATGTTGAAATCAGGTGCATTTTAGGTGCTGAATGAAAGGTAAAAATACATATTTTCCAGACTTTGAAAATATGTCATTTACAGACATTGAAAAGACCTCATTGGCCCTGCCCTCTCTGGCTATCCCTACCTGGGCTCAGGAGATCTCAGACGACCAGTGGAAGGACATGGTCCAGCAGACGCTCCAGACTCGCATCAGAAGGCCTGATGCGAGAGCGCAAATAAGACTGAATTGCCTCCTTCCCACAGTTTGTCTTTAACTGTGCCCTGCATTTCACCATCACACTTGCCTCAGGGGAGTCTGAGCTGAGGTCCTTTGAGTGGGTCATGAGTCCTAGGTGTCTCAATTCTCAAGAGATGAGAGATTGTGAAAACACCTCTATGTCCAATTCCTATTAGATTAGGACACCTCTCCTAAATATTTGTGTTTGAAAGGAGCCTCTGGGTACTCACTACTCCTAACCTAGAGGGCGGCAGGTGGCCTAGTGCTTAAGAGTGTTGGGCCATTAACCGAAAGGTCGCTGGTCAAATCCCCGAGCCTAGGTGAAAAATATGTCAATGTGCCCTTGAGCAAGGCACTTAACCTTAATTGCTCTGGAAAAGAGTGTCTGCTAAATGACTGAAATGTCTCTTTCGGTCAATGATTCTATGGCCAAATTTCAACTGCTCTACATTCTCAAGTAGGCAAGCATTATATCACTAATATTTGTATCACACCTTTTAATAGAAAATAGGAGTCAACTGAAGATTGCAGCAAAATATGTATTATATCTCCCATCTATCACATGCACCTATGTTAGCTTTTTGAAAAGCTTTAACATCTGCTAAATGACTAAAATGTAATAACATTCTGAGTATAAAAACATTTCTTACTGTGATATGTTGTTGTTTATCTACCTTAGTTGAATGCACTGACTGTAAGTCACTCTGGATAAGAGTGTCTGCTGAATGACCAAAATGTAAATGTAAAAACAAACACCTGCAAAGCATACTGGGTATTATTCTAATGAGCTCCTCCGCCCTCAAACAAGTACACATTTGGTCGGTGCTGACCAGAACCAATCTGAACCAATCATAGACGTCTATGTTTTACAAGTTTAAACATCACAGTACAGTACGGCACAGTTTAGTACAGTAGAGCACAGCAGAAAACAGAAGAGTACAGTACAATACAGTACAGTACAATACGGTACGGTACGGTACAGGACAGTAAAGTGTTATTCAGTAGAATACAGTACATTACAGTATGGTACAGTACAGTAGAGTTTAATTCATTAGAGTAGAGTACAGTAGAGTACAGTAAAGTACAGTACAGTATAGTTGAATTCTGTAGAGTTGAGTACACTGCAGTTTAATTCAGTAGAGTACATTAGAGTAAAGTAGGGTACAATACAGTACACTGTACGTTGCTTTTCTTTACTTTACTGTACTCAAGTGTGCTCTACTGTATTGTACTGCACTCTACTCTACTCTATTGTACTATACTATACTGTTTTTTACTGTACGGTGTACTGTAATGTACTTTACTCTGCTGTGCTCTACTGTGCTGTGCTGTCCAAACATGGGAAACACCAAATCTGAACCAATTATTAACGTCTATGTTTTGGCTAAATCAAGGCTGGTCCGGACCGGACCAAATCTGAACCAATTATAGATGTCTATGTTTGGGCTAAATCAAGGCCGGAGCGGACTGGATCAAATCAGAACATCAATGTTTAGGCCAAATATAGGCCGGTCTGGACCGGACGTCTGTGGACGTCTATGATTGGTCGGTGGACGTTGAAATCAAGGATGCTCCTGACCGCAAAAAAAAGATGTCCTAAAGACGTAGCCTGACGTCAAATGCTTAGTGGGTGGTTCATACTCTTCCAACCCAGCACATTTATGAAATAATGTAATGGTTAACTAAGACGTGTTTTAAAGGAGATGACTGATGTTTAGAGTATACTGTAAACTGAACTAGCTCTAAGAATATTTTTCCAATGAGAGGTTTACTAGTTCCACTGGTGTTGCTGCTCTGTCAGTTAGGAGCACCTGAGAGCTTTCTAAGTGAAGATGCATCCTCTGACACACAGACCACCCTCCGACCTGATATCTGGTCTGAGCTGAGAGATCTGAGAGACATGGTGGTGCTGCAGAGAGCAGAGCTGAGCTGCACCACGGCTGAACTACGAGACACTAAGAACCAGATGGAGGGGCTGAAAACAGAGATCTCAGGTGATAACAGAATACTATGTCCAATTTGCCCACTATCAGTTGACTGAGTAAGTCATACTCAGATGAATTTCCATTGTTGACATGAAAATTATTTCATTTTGTTTTAGTCATGGAGTCCAGGCTGATGAGTTCTGAAGGACAACTTGAGGCAGTGAAGACAGACAATGCAGGTAAAATGTACAATTGAATGTCAGTTTGTTTAGTTAGTATGGTCATGACAATAACGATAGTAAATGTAGCCATAGAAACCAGGCAGAATATGAATACCTTATTATCTATGTTGGTAATGATCAAGACTATAATGCTTTCCCCCTGTTGCAAATGTGTGTGTTTTGCAGCCATAGTGAGCAGACTAACATCCGCTGAGAGTGAGGTTGACAGACTACAGAAGGAGAATACAGGTAAAACAGAAATGGAATGATGGTACTTTGTAATAATATGTAATGTGACTGATTACTTTCTTCCCTTCCATTTGTAAGTGTGAAAAAGTGAATCATTTACTTATAAATAATTGTATTCACCTCCATTGACAGATAGACCCAAGGTGGCATTTTCAACCTCTTTTGGAAAAACTGGACAGCATGGGCCATTCCACACTGCCACCACCGTGGTCTTCAAGAACATATTCTCAAACACTGGCAACCACTACAACGAAGCTACAGGTACTGTACTGTCTTCGTTTAGTGTAGACCATTTACTCAAATATATATGCATCTAAAGTTTAAAGAGCCTGCAAAAGAGAGAAGGCAGCTCAATTTTGACAGTACCCACTGGGCACAAACTGGTTGAATCAGCGATGTTTCAACGCAATTTAAAATGTCTATGTTTAAAATACATTGGATTTGCAAAAAGTCATCAAAGTAAACTGCTGTTTTGAGGGTGACATTTCAGCCACAAATGATGTTATCATGGTAACCAATTTTCAGCATAGACACATTTTCTATAAAATATGTTCAATTTGTACCTTTAAAACAACGTCAGCTCTTCAACGTTATATCCAATATCAAAAAAACTAATAATAGGCTGGGCAACACCTCCTACTGGAGAGTTGATCTACAACTATTAATTTGGTCTCCCATCCAGGGTTTTTTATCCTGAGAATGATTATTGAGAGAACACTTAATAATAACTAAATATATTCACTGTTGCTATCAAAGTCATTCCAAAGAGTAGGTTTAACAAAGCAAATTAAATGCAACCATACTTTATAAGTCATATATCATCAATTATACTATTTAGGCCTTTATAGCATTTGCAAAGTCATCCTCAGCTATTGTTTCAATTCAACCCAGGGTTCAACTAAAAATACACAATAATATAAGCCAAGCTTTGGCTGATTTCAAATGTAATCTTCAAGTTAATCATTAATATGTTGGATTCACATTTCCATCTCAACCAAAAATATAAGTTAAAGAATAGGACTAAATCAAATCAAACTTTATTTAAACTCTTAAGATTGTATTTTTTGGTTACGATGGAGATGTGAACCCATGGAATCTGTTGACAACCAAACACAATTCAATATCACTTTTGCAACACAGTAAATAGCCTATTATCGACAAGTTATGAAATGATATGTTGCATTCACGTCTCCAACTAAAGCAAAAATAAAAGGTAAAGAATAGGATTAAGCCAGTAGCTCAGATTAAACTATACACGCTTTAGATATTCTTTAAATGTTGATATTTGGTTGTGTTGTCAACCAAACACAATTCAATAATATTTTTGTAATACATCAATTCACCTAAAGATAAGGCTATCTTTCAAACTAATGTAACAGTAGTTATTCAACCTTAAAATGATTAACACATCCATGGCCACATTGAAGTTAGCCTACAGTAACTATAAATGTCTTATGTAATCATAAAAGCGTGCATGTTCAAGATAGCGTTCAAAGGTCGAAGGTCTGTGGAGATCTTCACAATTGCTATAATAATCTGTACAGAATCTTGACCAGCATTGATCACTTTCACCATGTACTTTTAATGTAATCTCATCTGCAATCCAGGTTATTTGGTTCTGCCATTAGATGAAGCACAGTGATAACACATTAAGTTGTTGTATTAATACAAAATATATATTGAATTCCCATTTGAACTTTGTTGTGCTTTTAAATGGTTGAAAGCGCAGTGATAACACATTCAGATGATAACTAAACCACAAATCAGACATTGTTTTTCCACTGGAATTTGGTTGTGCTTTTAGACGGTTGAAAGCACAGTGATAACATGCAGGGATTTCAACAAACTTCTGGCTGTCTTTTTGAGTGGGTGAATAAACATTGAAATCTCATTGATCAACATCTCAGCCAAATATTACCCAAATTTCCACATTGAAATGATGTGGTGTGGCCAGTGGGAGGGATGCTGTGGAGATGGTTATGTGATACTGTTTAGAGTAGGATGTGACAGGGAGTGATTAGAGATGAGTTATGAAGAGAGTCGGGGGGGAACCCAATCATAAAGGCACCCCGTGCTACTCTAAAATAAACAATCAATATACAATTTTACAACCATCACGCAATACATAATTAGTTTGTAATGAACTGGTAGAATATTAATAGAGCCTTTGATGATGGTGTCCTAATGGTGTCACATGTTTCTGTTCAAGTTTAGTATGTTGTGTTGTACAATCAGTAGAATACAGTTTATATGGTTTAGTATTGACTGAGGTCTGTACTGTATTGACTGAGGTCTGTACTGATCCCTCCATGACTCTCCTCTCATCCAGGTGTCTTCACAACACCGGTGAGGGGGGACTACTACTTCAGCTTCACTATTGGTGCATATCTCCAATCCACTGTTATGGGCCTAACACTGTTCAAGAATGAACAACAAATAATTCATACAGGGGAGTGGGGTAACCATGGGCAGTTTAGGCATGCATCCAATACCGTCATACTACAGCTAGAGGTGGGAGATATAGTTTTTATGCAACTCCCTGCAAACTACAGGATTTTTTATGATTTACATCACCGTAACACTTTCGCTGGCATTCTGCTCTACCCTGTGTGAGAAAGTTAACATGTATTATAATGATGACATCAGTAAAGTGCTTTTGACCAAGTGATGACATCTTGTTACATTTTCTTTTTGAGGTACACACTCGCACACACACGTTTCAACAACAAATGCTGCAATATTCACTTAGACCAGTTGAGGGTAGTAGATTCCCACAGTTGGTTGTGTGTTCTTTGATCAAAGGGGGATGGATACAGTCAACACAGCCCTATTATGTGAATGGTTTGATGAATGAAAACTATTCAAACATTTCAGGTTATAGGTATTTTGGGTATTTTTAGCAAATAGAATGTTTTTAAATGTTACAGTTAGAAAATGTTTTCAAGTAAAACAAACAATGTACTGTAATATTGGCCAGGCCAGTCTGGTTTAATGCATGTTTTAGAATTTTGAATAACTATTTTATTTTAGAAATTAGGTATTACGCATAGGCCTATACTTCACCATGTAAACACATATATTTGCTATGCATTGAGGTCAGTAAGGATATTTTGTTTTCCTTTTTTTATCTCAAAGCAAGGTTTAAGTTTATATACAATGTGCAGTATTAGGTGATTATAGCCTCTCACAACAAACATAGCATCACTCAATTTCACCTGTGTGCTATCAAAACAGATAAAAGAACACCTTACGGCAGGATGGGGACTGTGAAGAGACACACAGACATTTTTGTGCATTTTGTATTGTATTTTGCATTGTATTATGTATTGCATTATTTATGTAATACGTGGTTGGGATACGACTGTGATATGCGGTTGTCTCACCTGGCTATCTTAAGTTGAATGCACTAGCCGTGAGTCGCTCTCTAGATGGAAGCGTCTGCTGAATGGCTAAATTGTAATGGAAATGTAGTGCTATGTATGTATATTTGTGTATATTATGTATTTTATTTGTTATGTTGTTTCCTGTTTAGACCCTGGGAACAGTAGCCTCTGCCTCGCAGCAGCTAATTGGGGATCCTAGTAAATACGAAATATTAAACCACAATATAAAAATGCATGTATAGGCCTATAGCGGAATCTTTTTTTCTATGTCCTAACTAGAAATCCACATACAAATGAAAGTCAATACGTTTTTGCCTCCAAACAGATCTATTTTTACAGAAGACTTACTTATTTTTATTTTTACCTTAACATGAATATATCTAACTTTAAAGTTCAAACTGTTTATTTTGAAGGATTCCAGCCTGCAGTTGCACCAAACAGACACCAGATGAGCGCAAGTGAGCAGCTCCTAAACCCCGCCCCTAATCCCTCCCCTCCCGCCTAGCCCTCCCATTTCCTGTCAGGACCCCGCCCTCGCTGCGCACCCCCCTCTCCCTGGCCTCACCCTGCCATCTGCCAGTGAGGCAGACATTTCCTGCTTCCCAGCTGCCTCCATTTTCTTCCTGCCTTTCTCTAGAAAACAGGATGACAAGAGGCCTTTCAGTGAGTCAGCCCCCACCACTCCCTTTCCTTTGTGCCGTCACCCCTAGCAACCAGTACCATAGTGACCTGTAAACATGACACCCTCCACCTCACAAAGACAAACACGCCCCACCACCCCCCAACCACGCCAAGCACCCACATACACTGTTATTGTGAGGGGCTTTAAAGTTTAAAGGGACTGGACTGCACATATTTAGAGAAGAATAGGCTACACTTTGAATATGAAGAACAAGCATTCATATCTGCTGACTCATAAGCATAGTCACTCACACATAGTGGATAAGAATGACAACTTATATTCTGTAGTTGTATCTTCCAGTTATTGTGGCCACTTTATATTACAAAGTACAAAGTACAAAAAGGCTTATTGGTTTAGACTGTTTTCATAGTTGTTGTTGTAACTTTGTTGAACTCTTTTCATAAATCAGTGTGTTTCACTTTTCAGTAGTTAACAGATTCCTCCATTCATACTTACAATAAGAATGCAACAAAGTTTGGTCTTCACATTGATGATTCAGTGTTTCTGTTCCATTAATTATTAATTGTTGGTAGTAAAACTTCTACAGAGCTGCATTTGACGCTGGAGGGTCAGTGCTGCAGTTCTTCTTAGTGACCAGTAGAGAACGCTCTTGAGTCATGCTCGGCTGCTGTGGGAACAATAGAGTGGAACACGTGGCGTCTATTCAGAAAAAGATCTGACCAGATGAGAGGAGAACAGTGGTAGGATTCAGAGAGAGACGACTCTTTAGAGTTCTCTCTGTATGTGTAAACATAAAGTATGTGGAGATGTGGTTACACATAACAGCATTGCAACACATTTATTTGGTTCACAATCTGAATGCAACTCAGTTCCGGATAACTCCCCCTCACTCACTCCCTCCCTCTCCTTCCTTGGCTGGCTGGCCTGGCTCACTGATTCAGGCCTTTTAAGGAAAGAGCCAAGGACAGAGGGAAGAAAGGAGGAGCGAGGAAGGAGGGATAACATTGGCTGAGTTATATATGGAATGTGTTGGTGTTCAGCCAATTAGTTATTGTGTGACTGTTTTATCTCATAGCACAGCTGTGGTGTGTGTGTGTGTGTTTGTGTGTGTGTGTGTGTGTGTGTGTGTTTGTTTACAGTGTTAAATGTACATTTTTAACTGTTCCTGATTGATCGGATCCATTAGCAGCAGTTTTGTCTATAATTCTGTTTTGGATCTGAGCCAGTCACACAGAGGCCCATTCAGTGTGTGTATCCAGGGGCAGAGAGCAGAGAGCAGAGGATCAGCTGAGTGGTAATCATGAGGACAATCATGGGTCTCTGTCTGTGATTTATGACATAGGTGGTCATTACCACAATAAGGATGTCCATAGCAAGACTGAATAGAACCTGTCTGTCTGTCTGTCTCTGATCTGTGTCAGTTCCAGAAGAATGCAGTAGGGGGTAATGTTGAACCATGAAAGAGAGAGTCTACCACTGAGAGAGAACATCACAGCCATTTAACCACCCCTACACCGAACCCATTTACTACAGTTCATTTTACAATATCTACACACATTCCAATGTCTACTACTTCCTTACAGGAATTAATGCATTCATTCTCTCATGTGGTCACCCATTAAAGACAGGACCTCTTCCGCTAATCCAACTTCACTGGGACTCACACATACTCTCACACACACGCTCTGCGGCCCTCTCTCTCTCACACACAGATTGCGGCCAGGCGAGGCAGGGGTGGGGGTTGGGAGGATTTAAATAGGCTGCCCCTGCTCTTTGACTCAGTGTGGGGAGAGCAGAGCTGGATCAGTGAAGTCTCCCATCTGTCTCTCCTCTCCTGGTGTGCTCTCTCTCCACTTCCTCCCATTGCAGGGCAAAGAGATTAGCACCACAGTTAGCCCTATCATACTGACTGTATCATAAATCCACAGGCTAATGATGCTCCTAACTTTCTCTGGACTGAGGATGTCATACCATCACTCATTTATAAGCACACACACACACTCTCACAGACACACGCAACACACACATAGACACGCCTACAGTGTGTGTAACACTGTAACTAAACAATCCTATATTTAAACAAGCTTGCACGAATGCATGCACTGCACACACACGCACACACACACCACACACAATAGATAGATACATAAAGAGACAGTCTCATCCAAGGTCAGGAGGGAGCTGCACCAGTCACATTGGTCCACGAGGGAGCACAGGCCTGAGGGTTTGACCTCGATTCTCATAAAGGATGCTGTCATACACAACAAACGTGTGATACATACTAGCCCACAACCACATACACACAATAATAGTCATAGTAATAAATGCAGTAGAGCCTGCAGTGTAGTGCCACAATAATAAACTGTAGCACACACAGCCACTTGTTTTGAGCCTTTACTATCATCACAATTGGCTGTGCTACAATGCAGAACACTGCTCTTTACATGGTCCTGTAGTCTGAGCAACAGCTGCTCCCTCCACTTTCAGAGATTGGAGTCCTCTCTGTGTATGCCTGTAGACCCCAGAGCAGGCAGGCAGAGGGGTGGGGGAAGAGGGATCCTCTTAAAGAGTCCCAGCTGCTGGTGTGACCCCTGGTCACAAAACGTATAAACCCTGGGCCAGCTGCCAGAGTATATGTATAAAGAACACAGGTGAAAACTTGTTGCACTGAGATGAGGTGCATAGATTTAACACTTTGTACCGTATAGACATTGAAGGGGGAATTTGGGCAGAAAAATGCTGGTGAATACAGGGTAGCTCATTGGCCCAGGATCATGGTGCTATGGAGATGACTGGGGTAACAGGTGGTAGCTCCATTAAAGCTGAAGCGTTTAGTTTGGTTATGGATGTACTGTACGATGTCGCAGTGCAATTGTGCAATTTGTAGTCACAGTGTTCAGTAGGCCTGGGTTCAAATACAAGTAGAAGTATATGGGAAAATAAGTATCTGTATGTGTGTGTTCTCTCGTATTGTTTCCTTGTCCACTTAGCCACTTGTTAGTAACAGCACTGAGTCACCATGCTGTGTCTATTCATGGATTTCTCCCTGCCTGCTCTCTCTCCCACTGCTCATCAGACACCTAACAATAGGGTTTCCTCTATTTCTTCTCTCACTCCCCAACCATGGATACTGTAGCTTTCAGTCCTGTCCATGCGTCCTTAGCCCTTACCATCCCCCCTCCCCTGTCTCTCCCTCCCCCTCTCCCACACTCCTCTATGTTCTGAACCTGATGGAGTGATTACTCCATATGCAAACCAGCCTGTGTATGGCAGGTGGTAAACAAATGTTGAGGTGGCTTCACACAAGTATATCACTCACTCATTACTTCACTTCACACAACTATATAGCTCACTCATTACTTCACTTCACACAACTATATACAGTGAGGGAAAAAAAGTATTTGATCCCCTGTTGATTTTGTACGTTTGCCCACTGACAAAGACATGATCAGTCTATAATTTTAATGGTAGGTTCATTTGAACAGTGAGAGACAGAATAACAACAACAAAAATCCAGAAAAACGCATGTCAAAAATGTTATACATTGATTTGCATTTTAATGAGGGAAATAAGTATTTGACCCC